GAGGTAATGAAGATGAAATAATGGTTGGAGGAGAAGATTCATGAGATGAAAAAGGAATAATGGAATCTATATGGAAATAGAAGGGAGAACAAGAGGAGAAACAAAAGGAAAAAATTCAGAAAATGGAATCTATATGGAAAGATGCAATAGAAATATCGGTGAATGTAAGAGAACTTTTAAAGGAAAGACAAAATAAGAAGGTTGAATATTTGTAAAATTAAACAAATTAGATGTAAGGAAGAAGGAGATAATAAAGACAAGTTATGAGGAAAAGACGAAGAAGAGGAAAAGGAATGAGCGACAGTTTCGTGAAAAATGACATCTTTAGAAACCAAAAATTTTTGGGAGAGAAGATAAAAAACTCTCTAAACTTTAATGCCATGAGGATAAACAAGAAATACATAATGAGTGGCTTTAGGATGGAATTTCTTACGATGGGGAACAAGAGTTGAACCAAAACACATAGATCCAAAAATCTTTAAATGATTATAAAGAGATGGTGTCTTGAACAATATTTCATAAGGTGTTGAATTGTCTAACAAAGGGGATGGAATTTTGTTGATCAAATATATAGCAATAAGAATTGCATCCCCCTAGAGTTTCGAGAGATAAAAAATGCTTGAAAGTGAGGGATCTAAATACATTTAACAAATGTTGGTGTTTTCTTTCAACAATAACTTTCTGTCGAGGAGTACCTAGACGAGAAAATTGATGAATAATGCTTTTAGAATAATAGAAAAAGGAAAGATGAACTTCAAGACCATTGTTAAACCTAATTGTTTTGATGGGAGATTAAAGCCGAGTAAGGATCATTTGGTAGAATAAGGGTATAATGGATAAGGCATCTAACTTGTGTCTAAGTAAAAAAACCTATATAATCTAGTGAAATCGTCAACCATTGTGAGAAAATAATGAAAACCACTAAGAGAAGCAATAGAATATGGTTCCCAAATGTCCATATGAATCAACTCAAAAAGAAAAATTGTATTTTTATTATGAATGGAAAATGATAATCTCTTTTGTTTTGCTAAAGGACAAACAAAATAAGGAGTAATGTTATTACATTGAATGACATAATGATTCGACTAAGTAGTTGTAGTCTATCATGTGCAACATGACTCAATCTATAATACCATAGATCGAAATAGAATGATTCGTGAATTTATCATTGATTCGTGTGAGCAATATAAATGTGTTTAACGGAAGAGAAAAATAGGCTTAAACGGACTAAAACAAGAACAATCATGTTTATAGATTAGCAGTTCTAATTATTGTCCTTGAAGAGTTGTCCCGAATCACACAAGAACCACCATAAAATATCAATTTGTAGGAAGAATTAGTTGTAAGTTTACCAACTAAAATAAGATTGAACAAAAAAAAAAAAAAAAAAAAAGGAAAACGAGAGGACATCAATCAACATGAACGAAGATGATAGATAGACTTGATCAATATGAGTGACAACAACCTTAATATTGTTTGACATTTCAACTATCATACCAAAAATAGGTTTGTAGGACTTGAAATACTTAATAGAACATGACATATGATTAGTAGCACATGTGTCCATAACCCAAGTATAAAGACTAAATAAAGAAATAAAACCTTATGAATGACAACAAGTAGACATGAGTAATTCTGCTATGTCAATAAATTATAGCTCAACTAGTACAAGTATTTCATTTCATTTCTCTTCAAAAGGTTATGATATATATATATATATATATATATATATGCTTATTTTATAGAAGTTTTCGATATTATATAACTCTATTTTGTATGCATAATTAAATTGAATAGATTTTTTTCTTAAACATAGATAGAAAAATATTATTAAAAAATATCGATATATATATAATTAATAATTTTTTAAATTGTATGATTTTTTTTTAAATATTGTCTTAGAAAAAAATGGAAGTATTTATTTATTTATTTTTGTTAAAAAAAAAAGGTTCGAACTCAGATCTTTTAAAAGAGAAAGGATATTAATATGAGTAGAGCTGTACTCATTGACTTTCTTGAACTCTATTTGCTTTGCCGTATCTTAATTGAGGATTATAAATAGACGAGAGGATAAACCCGTTGGAGAAAGCAAAGCAAAGCAAACACATTACTACCATGACAACAATCAATACTCCTCTAATAGTCGCACCCAAAACCTCTCACCACAAAACTATATTTCTAGTTCTCTCCTTGGTTGCAATCTTAAGTTCAACCACACTAGTTACCATTCACTGCTACACAAAAATTAGCCCCTTGACGCCTTCTGGTCTGCTGCAGAACTTTTGTTGGCTGTATTATCTTATAATTAATATTTGGCTAACAAATTACAGTCTATGTAATAACAATTAAATAATCATAAGTTTCCAAATAGAAATAATTTGTCGTAGAAAAGGTAACTTTGCTTGTTGGAAAAAGATGAAAGAATTCCATCGTCTTTATCCCCTAGCCTGTGGAATTAGAACAGCCAACGGACTAACTTTTGTATATTCTTTTAGCTAGTGCCATGATTGCTTCCAAAAATTCAAAAGCCAAAAATATGTAGGGTGTATTGATCTTTCTTTGGAGATAGCCAAGGTCACGTTTAAGCCATGATCTCCAGTGCCACCCTTCAAAGGCATTCACGCCATGATGAATCTTAAAACTATGTTTTTTTAAGACCATAGCATGATCCTTAAGATATTTTTCTTTCTTTAATTTTTTGAACTCAATCTTTGAAATTAGTATTTAAAAAAAATTATTAATTTTTTTCGAATAAATTAAGCTAATATAAGGAGTGTATTCTTAAAATTATCCCAAAATAAAATTTAATCTTAATTTACATACAAAATTATAGAGTTAGATAATTGAGATTGAGTTCCATCCAAAAAACTTAAATCTTGTAGTGGATGGCCTCTTTTCAACCTTATATGTTAATCATCTTTGGTTTAACTATTCAATGTGGAATATGTGTTTTAACATTTCCCCTCACTTATAGTTTATCTTTTTGAGATCCGTCAAGTGGCTTGGGCTCTAGGATCTTTACTTGGGTCGTTGGCCTCTTTGAGGCTTTGATATCATATAGAATTAGATAGTTTAGAATAGATTCTATCCAAAAGACTTAAGCCTTGTGGTGAGTGATCCTTCTCAACATTATATGTTAATCATCTTTGGTTTAACTATTTAATATGGGATATGTGTTCTAACAAAAATGATTAAAACGTGCCCTAACTATTGAAGTAAAAAAAAAAAAAAAAAAGAACTTGATAAACTTCACTTGGCATATTGGTATTCGAGCTATAGGAAAATAATCATTTCTAATTTGAAAAACGTACCTTAAAACGTAGAAATAATTAGTAGTGAAATTTAAGGAATAGGTAAAGGATATGTTGTTTCCTTAACAATTCCTTATTAAATCTCATATTAGACCATGAAAGGTAAAATTGTTAATAATCTTCTATTGCTGAGATGGATGTTTTGCCTTCAATGAATGTAAATTTAGTTCTGATTATAACTGAAGTTTGTCCAAAAATATTATCAAACCATAAGAAAAAGGAAATATCTCAAGTTTCTAGTGAACTACCTATTCTCTTAATTATTGTATACTCAATATTTTTATATGATTTTTTTTTTTGGATAAATTAGTACTTTATTCTTAATTTAGATAACAGTTCTTGTGCACTAGTTGAAGAGAATTTGAATTAATAATAAAATTTAAAAGAAATATAACACGTTACTTGTACTTCCTGTATAAATGTAACTTTTATTACCAACAAGTTGTTGGTCTAATAATAATAAACGAGTTGGTCTCTAGGTAAATTTTTTATTCATTTGTAAGATTTCGAATTCTTAAATCATATTTATTGAAAGAGGTTAAATTTTATTATTTCTTGAGTCACTGGACATTTTAATATTTCTTAAGTCACTGGAAACTATGATTTAATACGCATGTTAAGTTTTAGTACACGTATTTTATTTACTCCAAAACTTACTCCGTTATTGTAACTCATGCTTTCAAATACAAGCAAAATAGTTTGTTGTGGATTTTTTTTTTTTCAGTAAAGTTAAAATTTTTTTAAAACACAAAAATAAAAAATTGTTTTACTAATGCTAATTTCAACGCACAGTGTAGCAAGTTATATTGAAACAACACATAAAAATTGGATCCTACATTGATTAGTCATTAAAAAAGAAAAAGAAGTAAAGTGTTTACATACAAAAAGGAACACATAATCTAATAATTTAAACTTTTTATGCTAAAAGTGCTTCACAACCTGCGTTGCTTCCATAAATGGATTCCTGCAACAGGTGGTAGAGGACCGAGTAGCAAACAATAGTTCAATTAGGACAAGCAACTGTTGGCTAGAATGGGTGTATATATATAGATATTCCAAAAATGCTTGTTTTATGAGTTTTTGATACTATATTTTTCTAAATTACCTCTATTTTGTATACAAAATTAATTTGAATAGATTTTTTTCTTAAACATAAATAGAAAAGTATTATTAAAATATACCAATATGATATTATAATTAATAATTTTTAAAATTGTATGATTTTTTTTTAAAATATCATTTTAGAAAAAAAAGTATTTATTTATTTTTGTTAAAAAAAAAAAAGTTCAAACTCAGATCTTTTAAAAGAGAGAGGTTATTAATATGAGTTGAGCTGTACTCATTGACTTTCTTAAACTCTTTTTGCTTTGTCGTATCTTAATTGAGGATTATAAATAGAAGGGAGGATAAACCCGTTGGAGAAAGCAAAGCAAAGCAACCATTACTACCATGACAACAATCAATACTCCTCTAATAGCCACACCCAAAACCTCTCCCCACAAAACTATATGTCTAGTTCTCTCCTTGGTTGCAATCTTAAGTTCAACCACACTAGTTACCATTCACTGCTACGCAAAAATTAGCCCCTTGACCCCTTCTGGTCTGTTGCAGAGCTTATGTGAGTATGCCCATAATCAGGAATTATGCCTAGCCATGGTCTCACAAATAGCCTCAAACACATCCATCAAAATGAGTCCAGGTCATATACTTCAAATCTTGTTAGAAAAATCCACACCCCACGTAGAAAAAACCATAAGAAAGGCCAAGGATGTTAGCTTTCGGATCAATGATCATAGAGAACAAGCGGCTCTTGCAGATTGTGTGGAGCTGATGGAGTCGTCCAAGGATAGAATTAAGGACTCAATAGTTGCTCTCGAAAGTGTTACTTTCAATTCCCATGCCAATGCACATACATGGGTTAGTTGTGTCCTTACCAACTATGATACATGCTTAGATGAGTTAAATGGTCCAGCCAGGTCCACAATGGAGCCAGACCTCAATGACTTGATATTGAGAGCAAGAATTTCCCTAGCCATACTTGTTGCTATTTCACCTCTGAAAGAAAATAATGAGATTTTGCCATTGATTGAAGATCTTCCGTCATGGTTAACCTCTAAAGAGAGAAAACTTTTAGAGGCTTTTCCGAAGGATATAAAGGCTGATGTTATAGTGGCTCAAGATGGAAGTGGTAAGTACAAGACTGTTAAAGAGGCTGTGGCATCAGTACCAGATAATGGCAAGACTAGGTACGTTATTCATGTGAAGAAGGGGATATATAAGGAGAATGTTGAAGTTGGAAGGACAAAAAGAATTTGATGCTTGTTGGAGATGGCATGACTCTCACTATCATTACTGGTCATTTGAGTGTTGATGGTAGGGTGACATTACTTCAATCTGCTACTGTAGGTAAAGATCGTTCTTTCCTTCTCTTTTTTTAAGCAATTTCCATTAAATCATGATCAATGCTACATTTTTTTTTTTTTAGTTTTATAAAACCAAGGTATATGGTTTTCTTTTTCCAACAACCAAAAAGATAATTTATTTCTAGTAGTCCAACTACGTAGAAAATTATAATTGGATAAATCTCAAACCAACCCTAACTCCATGACCTTACTAACTATTACCTAGTAATACTAACTCCATGATCCTATATATATATAAAAGAATAAATACTTTCTATCCAAACATTTAGTTTAATAAACATATTTCTATGTTTTAGAATTTTTACATGTAATAAAAGAATTTTATTAATAACTACTAAACATTTATCTTTTTTTTAAAAAAAAAATTACGTGTCAAAGTTAAAAGAAAACTTAGTGACTTTACATAAGTTTTCATAATTTGATTGATTTGATTCACACAGACATATTCGCCCTAGCTACTTTGTTTGTTAACAAAGCATATATTATAACTTATGAGTGCAGCCGCTCTTGGTGATGGATTCATAGCACAGGACATTTGGTTCCAAAACACAGCTGGGCCGGAGAAGAATCAATCGGTGGCGCTTCGCGTCGCAGCCGATCAATCTGTCATTAACCGATGCCGCATTGATTCCTACCAAGACACTGTCTATGCCCATTGCGCCCGGCAATTCTACAGAGATAGCTATATTACCGGCACAGTGGACTTCATCTTTGGCAATGCAGCTGTGGTGCTCCAAAACTGCACGCTTGTACCTCGAAAGCCTAGGTCTGGACAAAGCAACATGGTAACAGCCCAAGGCCGAACTGATAAAAACCAAAACACAGGGACTTCAATCCAAAAATGTGAAATCAAAGCAAGCACAGATCTTCAGCCTCTTAAGGGCTTAGTCAAATCATACTTGGGCCGTCCGTGGAAGGAGTATTCTAGGACTGTTGTAATGCAGTCCTATATTGGAGACCTTATTGATCCAGCTGGGTGGTCAGAGTGGGATAATAAGGGGTTTGCACTACGCACTTTGTATTTTGGTGAGTATTTGAACTACGGACCAGGTGCTGGTATTGCTGGAAGAGTGAAGTGGAAAACTTTTCATAACATTTCTACAGCTGAGGAGGCCATGCAATTCACAGTGGCTAAGCTGATACAAGGAGGGTCATGGTTGAAGTCTACTGGAGTTGCTTTTACAGAAGGGCTGTGAAACTGGATTGATCTTTTCTGTGATTATAATGTCTTCTTAAAATAAGTGAAATGTTATGGCTTGTATTTTTTTTTTCTTCCTTGTGTGCTTAAGCTTTTTCCCTCTTGTGGAGAAAAAGTGGCTTTTATGTTATAAGCTTTGTGTATGGTATAATATAATGTAACATGAAGGAATGGAATGAGATGACTCATTTCAATTCTTTGTCTGAGTGTTTTAAATAATGTAATGAAGGTTTTCATAAGGTTTCATTTTATTCTTTATAACTTTTGGAAATTTTACTTTATTCCTATATTTATTTTATTTGCAAATTGGTCTTTATATTGAAGTTTTTTGGTCCTTGTTTTTTTATAAATAATATAGTTTAGTCCTTATGATAAAAATCTTTTTGCAATCAGATTCCTAATCATATAATGGTTCATGATAAATTTTTTTTTACATGATGTTTATGATGTAATAAATCATTACAATTATAATCCATCATTGCATTACAATTTTAAAAATTATACAACCGAACATTTCATTAAAGCAATGCAATGCTACCTATTGATTTTTGTAATTTTAAATATATTATATGACAATATAGTTTTACCAACTATTGCTCTAAGTATGATAAAAAGCTAACTCTTTTGCTATATTACTCCTATTACACAACATTGCATACCAATCTTCTTCTTCTTCTTTCTAAAATTTAATGGTTGCAGTCAAGAAGTTTGATTGCTTGAAGTTAACTATGTTTCTTTTCTACATCATCGTTCTAAATCTTCTAGCATTATTTTTCAAAATAAATAAATAAATCATAAAATTTTAAAACTTTCTAATTAAGTCTAGATAATCCAAAAGTACTCGTTAGACCCATGACCTGTTGCTCGTTTGTGTTCTAGCAAATAAAGAGGGGTTAGGATTAGTTGGAAGACTACCTTAGACGACAGTTAGTATATTATGCGGTTAAATGGTTAAAATATCTAATAAACTTTCAGTCATTTGAGAATTGATCTCTCAACTTAAAAAGTTAGAATTGACCTCCTATAACTTTGTTTTATTTGACATTGGATCTTTCTTACATATATTATATAGATTTCCGTTTATTAAAAAAAATCGCGTGAATGTCACGTGACTTGTGCATAAATTGATCTTAACTCTGGATTTATTGACTATTTTTGAACCCTTGGATGAATTTGAATATATATATATATATATATATATATATATATATATATATATATATATATCTGATTAAACAAAAACAAAATTTTATCATATTGAAAGTAAATTATTTCTACATACTTTTATTTTGAAGAACTCAAAAAAAAAAAAAAAAAAGATAGTTTGTTTTTACAGAAAAAATCTAACAAAAAGATCTAATTTATTGACTATTTTTGAACCCTTGGATGAATTTGAATATATATATATATATATATATATATATATCTGATTAAACAAAAACAAAATTTTATCATATTGAAAGTAAATTATTTCTACATACTTTTATTTTGAAGAACTCAAAAAAAAAAAAAAAAAAAAGATAGTTTGTTTTTACAGAAAAAATCTAACAAAAAGATCTAATTTTTAAGGCCTTATGTTAACAAGCATTGGAAGGTATATAATGTAATTTTAGAGCTCCATTCAGCGTGGACTTCTGTTACAGTTTTGATTTCTGTGGAGTAATTTACAATATTTATTTTAGGCATTAAAAAAAAAAAGAGATTTTTCCATTGAAGGGAGATTTTCCATCATGGCTAGCTAGTAAGGATAGGAAACTTCCTCAGGCTTTGCCAAAGGACATCAAGGCTGACGTTACAGTAGATGTTTAGCCTACTTCAAGTATTGCCGACATGGATATATATATATGTGTGTACAAAAATCTTATCTAACACTAAAACAAAAGTAAGTATAAATATCTCAAATCCAGTGAAATCTATGTGTATGTTAAAAAATTACCTAAACCTAAAAGTTTAAATTTTTGAACAAGGTTCTACAAACAGTTTTGTCTTACTTTCTAATAAAACTCCTGAATGAAAGTTTTTTGAATTTCAAATTTACACAAACTCATCATTACTTTATACTTAATTAGAATAGAAAAATAGAAATAATGAGATTTAAACTAGCTACTACAAACAATTGAATGGGAGAATTTTTTAAATAAGTAGATTATTCTCATTTTCAGTTTCTTAGAATCACATTATCCAATTAAAAAAATAAGTAGATTAGCATGGTTGTGTATATAATTGATATATCATTTAATGCCTTAATTTCTTAGAATCACATTATCCAATTATATCCGACTTACCTAATCTACTTATTTTTGAGAAATTTACAAACAATTGAATGGATGAATTATAATATTCATTATTTTTGACAAACAAACCTACCTTGTTTTTTTATTTACTTTGTTGTATCCTATTCGAGTACTAAATGTACAAGGAAGATAAACCTGGTAAAAAGATACCAAAGGAAAACTAGCTACTACCATGCATGGCTATGATCAATGCTCCTCTGTTAATAGACACACCCAAAAAAACCTCTCACCGCAAAACCATTTGTCTAGTTCTCTCTTTGGTTGCAATCTTAAGTTCAAAATATAACAAAACAGGCATCATCCCAAGCCAAATTGGTCGCACAAATAGCTTCAAACACAACCATGCATCAAGATGAACCATGTTAATCTACAATTCTTGTTAGAAAAATCAGCACCCGACGCTCAAAATATCATTTAGATGGCGAAGGATGTTAGCCATCGGATCGATGACCCTAGAGAACAAGCGGCTCTAGTTGATTGTGTGGAGTTAATGGAGCTTTCCGTGGGAAGAATCAAAGACTCAATAGTTGCTCTTGAAAGTGTTATATTCAATCCTCATGAAAATGCACATGCAAGGCTTAGGAGCGTGCTTGCGAACTATCATGCATGCTTAGATGGGCTAAATGGTTCTGCCAGGTCCACAATGGAGCCAGGCCTCAATGACTTGATAATGAGTCCAAGAATTTCCCTAGCCATACTCCTTGCAATTCCACCTTTGAGAGAAAAATTATGAGATTTTTCCACCAGGGCTAAATTCTGAAAACCGAAAAGTTATGGAGAATTTGCCAAAGGACATTAAGACTGAAGGTGTTGTCGCTGAAGATAGAAGGGGTAAGTACAAGACATTTGTGGTACAGCACCCAAATGATGGTGAGACTGGATATGTTATTTATGTGCAAAACGAGGCATAACAGAAAAATGTTGAGCAAGGAAAGAAAAAAATGAACTTGATTCTTGGTGATAGAAATGATAATCTCCTTTGATATATATATATATATATATATATATATATATATATCTTTATAAATTTATTGCCAGTTTACAATAAATGTAACGATTGTCTTATCAAAAGTTCCTGTTGTGAAATAAAGTTTTGGAGCCTTGTTGCACTATATATGCACTTAATTTGTGGAAAAATAGAAGAAGATCATGGGATTCAATGGACAAACTTTTATGCAAGTGTTTTAGCAAATCCCATGATTGCTTCCATATTCAAAAGCCAAAAAAATACCCCACTTACTATAAATATATATGTAAAGTGTATGGCTAATCAGTTGAAGATAGGATCACATTTGAACCATGCTTTCCTGTGGTCTCCTTAAAGACATTGCCCCCAAGTTAAATACTAATTGTTGAGTCAACCTCGATTAATTTGCACTTGGCAAATTCCTCAATAATAATCATTTCTGATTTGAACATTTACTTTAAATGGTGGAAATAGTTACATTTTTAATAATCTATTAGAACAACTTTTTTTTTATCCATTATGTTCTATTGAATAAAAGAATACATACATATATATATATATATATATATATATATTAAAACACTATGATATATAATCAGAGATTGATTCTTCATCTAGATAACAAAACAAAGCACATTAAAAAATTATTAAAGATGGCTTTCTTTTTATCGGGGGGAAAAAAAAAAGATGGCTCTCTTTTAATATAAAAGAGTTCGATATAGAGTACCACATCTTTTATATCGAAAGTGATCTCTGCTGGTGATGGATTCATAGCCCAGGACATATGTTTCCAAAACACGCTGGCCCAGAAAAGCCTCAAGCAGCGCGGACGTGGTAACAGCCCAAGTCAGAACTGACCCAAACCAAAACATGGGTCGAGGCCCATTCTCATGTCCCCTTGAAATTTGTGGGATAAAATTAGGAATTTAATTCTTATGTATTATTAAAGAAATATCTCACATAAAAGCTTAAATTATTAGGTGAGGTATTCTTTAACACACTCTCTAAAGTAAAAACCCTTCGAATTTAAAACCTACACAAGCATACATTACTTTATGCTTAATTAATTAGAAAAAAAATATGAATGATGAGATTCAAATTTGCGATAGTTTCCTCTAAGTAAAAGCTCTTCGAACTTAAAACTTACACAGACATACATTATATTATACTTAATTAATTAAAAGAAAAATATGAATGATGAGATTCAAATTCACGATTATTTAGTCATTAAGGTTTTGATTTACATATCATTTTACCTAAAAATTTAAGTTATTAAGTGAAGCCCTAAGATAATTTACATTTTATATATATATATATATATATATATATATATATAATGACATTTAGTAGCAATTGACCCATAGTGTGAAAGTGGTTGAATGTCATTTTTCATTACTAATATTTTTTATTAAAAAATAAAGGTATTTTTAAATCAATCTGTATAAGAAATAATCTTTCTTTATCCAAACAAAATGAATCCTCTGCATGGCCGCTCGCAAATCCAGATTTTTATAAAATGACCTTGCAAATTCCTAATCAAGTGGATGACGAAAACAACGATACTGTCACAAAAACTATGATCTACGTACCCTAAATATTTTAAGCAGAAAGTTGAAAACTAATGCAGTTCTTGGTACTATCTTCGTAAATTTGTTGGCTGTATTATCTTATCATATTAGACTATCAATTTACAATCAATTTAATAACAATAAAATAATCGAAAGATCCCAAGTATAAAAAAGTCTTGGGAGCCTGAAGAAATCTTTCATAGAAAAGGTGAATTCGCATGTTGAAAAAAGATTAAATAAAACAATTACATCATGCGTTATCCAATATGAACTAATTGTGGCCAATGCCATGATTGCTTCCATATTTAAAAGCTAAAAACACTCCACTTACCTCTTTATGATGCCATGTGAACGGGTAAAAATTTGTTTAGTGTGTGGTATCCTTTGAAGATAGGGTCACATTCAAACCATGTTTCCAATGCCTTATCTTCGTAGCATTGCCACCAAGTTAACTCAAATTGACGACCCTAGCTCGATGAACTTGCACTTGGTATATTAGTGTTAGAGCTATATGCTTATAATCATCGCTAATGTGAAAAATAAACATTAATCGGTGGAAATAGTTAGGTAGCTAGCTAATGAATTCTAATAGTCAAACTGATGTTAATTTAATGTAATATATTCCTCTCTTAATCATTAGATTTCAAAAAGTAACACAAGTATAATCTAGTAGTAGTTTATCCTGGAGGTTTCTTCAATAAAGCAGATTTAAGTTTTAATAACTTTAATTTGTTTAGTGATTATATAATAGGATAGAGTTATCTCTCATTATATGGTTTAAAATTTATAAACCTCTTGATGAACCATAAAAAACAATGACTTTTGGTCACATCAAAACTCTGTACAATTTGAATTTTTTTATTAAGACTTTAATTTTTTTTTCAATTTAAGAGTTCTATTCTTATATTACGAGTTGTCTAAGACCTTAATATGCTACGTAAGCACACATGATAAGCAATAGTCAATGACGAGTTTGTCGTGTATTATGATGGGTCCAAATTGAGTTTTAACGAAAATAAAAAATTCTTACATGAAAAATTATCATTAGCTAAAACTTATAACGAGTGCTTACGTAGTATATTAAAGTTTGAAACAATAATAACATAATAATAAAATTTTTAAATTAGACAAAAAAAAATTTTAAATCTCAATAAAAAAATTCGAATTGTACGAGGTCTTGATTTATAAATCTTTTATTACCAACACAAATGGAAAATGTAAATTTAAAGATTTTACATACTCTTAATTATTATTTGTAAAAATATATTTAAATTAAAAAAATTAATATAAATTAGAGAAAGAATATAAAAAAATTACATTCAAACTATGTTTCCAATGCCTTATCTTCGGAGCATTGTCATCAAGTTAAGTCAAATTGACGACTCTAGCTCCATGAACTTGCACTTGTTATATTATTGTTAAAGGTATAGGTTTGCAAAATATCGCTAATTTGAAAAATAAACATTAATTGGTGGAAATAGTTAGATAGCTAGCTAGTGAATTGGAATAGTCAAACTAATGTTAATTTAATATAATATATTCCTCTCTTATTCATTAGAGTTCAAATCACGAGAAATAACACAAGTATAATCTAATGCTTGTATATCCGGTGATTTGTTTTTTCAATAAAGCATATTTAAGTCTTATCAATAAGGCGTGTTTATTATTGAATAAAAACCGAATAACTGGACTAAATCACACTAAAATATCAATTTTGTTGTGATATTTATTTTAAAAATTAAAATAAAAAATCGAATCGAAATAATTTTAGTTTTTGGGTTTGGTTTTGGTTTTTTTTAAAAAAAAATTCAGTTAACTAAAAAACCAATATATATAAGTTAAGTCGGATCACTCACTATACTTTCAAATTAAAAAATCCTTCTCCTCCGGATATACTTCCTCTCACGAGTTTCGTACGTGTTTACTTTGTCTCTGCTATAAGTTTGGACATACACAAAATAGTAAAAATATTGATAGATTTTCTATCGTCTTCAATTTAAACCTTCTTGAGTAGATAATTTATTATTTATTTATCATCAATGCATTTGTTAGTTTTTTGGAAGCAGACTTATTTTCCTAGTTAATAGTTCATAAAGCAGAAAAAACTAACTCTAAACAGAGATTTCAGAAACTTTAATAGAATCAATCATTTATAAAATAAAATAAAACGGGTAAAAATCGAACATCGACATTAAAATATTTTAAAACCGAATAAAAAAATAGAATTGCATTTAGGTTTAATTTCGGTTATTTTTCTCTAAAAATTTGATTAATAAAAAATTATTTAAAATATTTCGAAATCAAACAAAATAACCGAATGAATACCCTTATTATCAACTGCATCCTTGTTGTTATTATTAGCATGTAGTATCTTGATTTTGTAAGGATAACTTGGTTCGTGAGTGATGCAAACTTCGCTATAATAGACAAATGCATAAAGTGGTTAATGAGTTGATGATTGTTTTTTTGTTTTTTTTTGACGTACTTCTGACACTTTTAACATCAAACCTTTTTGGTTGTAGTGTTAATCTCGTAACAAATCACAACATAGTATATATTATTATTATAGAGTAATATAAAATTATTTTTAAAAACTAACTTATCATTTAAATTTTTTGGTTACAATAATATTATTTTAACATGATATTAGAGTTGATATTATTCTTCAAAAATTATTATTATAAAACACAATAAATTCATGAAGTAACTACAACATGCATATTATTTTTATTCATCCACACGAAAAAGATACATAGAGGCTGGCCACCTTTATTACATAGATAAATACCCACAGTATTATTAGAAGGCATTGCCCTTTCTGGAGCCAGCCTTACTAACCGAGTGAGTAAGCCAGCCAAACCAAAAGGTACATATGTAGTACATATTTATAATTGGACGAGAACATGCATGCATATTCTATTCCTCATGCTACCTACACTTCGCCACCATAACGAATGTAGGTATTAACATTGTTGTTGACAGTACCCAAAAGTCCGGTGTAAACATCAGGGTCTTTGTTGGATGGATCTAGTTTCTCATATTGGATAGTCCACTTTGCGGTACTGGCAGCAGTAACCTCAAAAGTGACCACGAAGTTCTTGTACAGATGCAGCATCGCTCCTTGCAGCACTTTGTAGAGGATTTTGTTGTTGGAGTTATCTACGGCTTGAACTTCATACTTGATGTTCTCGGAAGCACCTGAAATTAAAAAAAAAGAAAGAAAGAAAGAAAACAATGGTTAATTATTATAAATGTTTAACAACTTTAATCACAAGTGATTCCATGTATTCATGGAACAGTACTATAATAAAATTATTGCTTTCTTAATCAATTAATTACGTACCAGGGGAAGGCGTGATGTAAATCCGCTTGCGGGAACCAACAACATCAACCCAGCTCTTGTTACCATCAGCAAGTTCTATTTTCTGCACAATTTCACCGCAGACATCAGTTAAGCGGAATGCTTTCTCCTTGAAGAATTTGAAAAAAAGATCAGTAGAGCATTGAAGTGGTGTTTCAACGACTCTGGAAGCCATATCTGCGAAGAATGTTGTGGAAATTAATTAGCAAGCTAATTGGTAAAGATGCAATGCTGTGAAGAAATGTGGAGGCCTCCTTGGCCTTATATAGTACAATAGCCACAGCCCTAACCTTCGGATCGTTTTTCTTTTGTCAAATCATCGCCACACATGCATACACATCGTTATTCACATTCCAAACAAGCAGCAAGGTACATTAAAAAAAAGTAAATAATAATTTCATTATCTAGTTTGTTCGTTGGGAGTGGGACACCTATGTTTCTTTAAAGAGGTTCATGGCTTGTGAATTTTTAACTTTTGCCATTTCTTTTCTTCTGCGTGAAATTATGTCTGAAGTTATTGGTGAGAATCAATCCGTTTTTATCTCTGGTAGGTAAGCTAACCAGGTCATTCATAAAATTAAAAAAACATTATATCCAAGGTTTTATTCGGAGAGTTAATTTCCAAACAGCCTTTGCTCATGGCGTCGTAACCCAAATTTTAAATTTTTTTTTCTTTCCTATTTTTATCCGTTTTATTTTTATTATTGTCATTTATTTTATCCTTGTTGTCATAACCCAATTATTTATACATTTTTCTTTATTTTAGTTTCTTTTGTTTTTATTATCTAGATTCATGTCCACTTTGCAGCCTCTCTCTACTGCATTCATCTCCCCATGTCAACCCTTAGCCTCAACCTACTGCAATCACTTGCAGCAACCTCCAAGCTAGCCCCATCCTGCTGCAAATTGCCCTGCACAGCCATCACTCCAGCAGCCTCCCCCTACTGCAGTCACCACCCTACTGTCCAGCCACCCCTACTTCCAGTGCCCCCACACAACTTCCCCTATACCTGCTGCAAGCCTCTCCCCCAACTCAACCTTCCCAGCAGCCCCATACCCCAACTGTCAACTCCTCACAATCCTGCTGCCACTGTCCAGCCACCCTCTACTGCTGTCACTGCCCACTCATCATCCTAAACCAACTGCCACAGTTCCCATTACCCTGCACAGCCCACAACCACAATCTCATCGACCCCCACACCATTAACCTGCAAAATCCCTCACCATCATGGACTCTTGAACGCTACAATGCTGAGATTTTCTTGGAATTGAAGTCCAAGTTTTGGATACAGCTGCTTCTTGTGATGATCAGAATTTAGTGTGTATCTCACGAGGAAGGAAAAGATTCAATTTTCTCTCTATGCAGCAGAAATAAATATTCTTCAAACTTGGACTCTCTTGCTTCTACATCATAGTGTATGCTTTTTAAGAAACGATAACATTTATGGAAGCAAAAGAGAAACTGAAAGAGGAGGCTGGCAAGTCCTTAGATTCTCAGTTATGGCATGCCTGCGCCGGTGGCATGGTCCAAATGCCGGCAGTGAATTCTAAGGTCTTCTACTTCCCTCAAGGTCATGCCGAGCATGCGTGAGCCTGTTGATTTCAGGAACTTGCCCTATGTTTCTCATAATCTATGCAGAGTCTTGGCTGTCAAATTCATGGCTGATCCTGAAACTGACGAGGTCTTTGCTAAAATCAGGTTGGTTCCAATTAATTCTAATGAACTCGATTTGGATGACCAAGAAGTTGCAGTTAATGGTGGAGGGGAAGCCGCACAAGACAATAATAAGCCAGTTTCTTTTGCCAAGACACTGACTTAATCTGATGCAAACAATGGTGGAGGTTTCTCCGTGCCGAGGTACTGTGCTGAGATGATTTTTCCACGTTTGGATTACGCAGCAGATCCATCTGTGCAGACCCGTCTTGCTAAGGATGTTCACGGTGAGACATGGAAGTTTAGGCACATCTATGGAGGGACACCGAGAAGGCATCTTTTGACAACTGGATGGAGCACATTTGTAAATCATAAGAAGCTCGTTGCTGGCGATTCTATTGTATTTTTGAGGGCGGAGAATGGAGATCTTTGCGTTGGTGTTGGAAGAGCTAAGAGGGGGATTGGTGGTGGGCCTGAATCTTTGTGGAATCCGGCTGGTGGGAATTCTGCTTTGCCTTATGAGGGTTTAAGTACGTTCTTAAGGGAAGATGAGCATAAGTTGACATTTATGGAATAAATTATAAATTATTCTCTTTAGCTTTGAAAAATAAATTAGTCAGTTTATTTTATTTTGAAAAATAATTATTTAATTTTTATATTTATAAATTTATCTGTAATTTATTTATATTTTTTGCTAATTTTTTGTTTTTTTAAAAAAGAAAAAACAGTAAAAAAATATAAAAATATTTGATGTTAAAAAAAGAAAAAAAATTAATATTAAATTAATCATGATCGATATTAATTAAAAAAAAATAAATAATTAGTTTTGAAAATATAAAAACATGAATTAATTCATTACTTAAATAATAGAAGGACTAGATTATAATTTACTCGACATTTATGCTGGCAAGGCATTTAAAATGTTCTGGCTGGCTCATAAGTCATAACCGCTCGTCATTGCCAAAGGGAACTGACGCGACAAACAAATAGCCAGCAAAGAAAGTCAGTGAGCTGAGATGTGAAAGGGGGCCCTAAAGACCTTAGGTATAAGTAAGAAATGGGAGGCCTTTCAGAATGTTGGGATTTTAAGTTCTACTGGCTTAGTTTTTTCACAGGAATGGCAGTGGATTAGGTGGAACAGATTTTGCTGTATCTGCCCTCTAATCGTAATATCTAAATTCAGCATTCATTTTCACTGTCAAGCCGGTCAGATGGAAGTCTTTCTTCCCTTGATGAGTATGCATAAGATATCTTATTCTATCCAATTTTACAAAAAATAAAATCTTAATTTATAAAAAAATTATATTTTTTTATCCACGAAACATAAACCATAAAATAGAATTTAATCTTCAAAGATATGCATGCAACCTTAAAAAAATCCATCACAGATCATTAAGATAACCATCCATACATTAACTTTAAAAATAAAATTGCAACTCTAAAAAAAAAAAAAGATCAGATCGTGGTAGGTGAACCCTTCGCTCGTCTCTTCATTTGACTCTAGTCTAGTCAAATCGGGTGAGAAAGAGAGAAAAAACGAAAAAAAGAAGAAGAAGATGGTTTGATTAAAAAAAAAAAAAAAAAAAGAGCTTTGTTTGTTTTCTTGGGTTCGGCTTAGCCCAACCCATGTGTGATTGGATTGGATTGATTTCAGTCCAATCCAGTCCAGTCTGAGAAAAAAATTGGGCTCAGTCCAGCCCAACCCAGCTTGAAAAAATTAAAAAAAAAAAAAAGAGAGAAAAGTTGGACTAGACAGATTCCAATCTAGTCTAGTCCAGTGCCCAAGCCCAATGGGCTGACGACCCACTGACAAAAAAATCCCAGGTGCTTTAATTTCAATTTTGTTTGATAAATTTATCCTGAATGTTTTTATTTTTATATGATTATTTCTTATTTAATTTAGATTTTAATATTCTAGATCTCTTCAAATTTATTTTCATTAATTTTAATTTTAAAATTCTATTTTTATAATTAGTTTAAATAATTAAATGATGGATGAATTGTCGAGTCTTTTAATTTTTAGAAACTAATGATGATTCTCCATTGACCAAAAAAAAAAACAAAAAAACAAAAACAAAAAACAAAACAAAAAAAATATAAATAAAAAGGAAGGCGTATTAGTTAATTTTAAAATTTTGTTTCAACAATTAGTTTAAATAATTAAATGATGGATGAATTTTCAAGTCTCCTAATTCTTAGGGGCGATGACAATTCCTCAATAATAAAAAAATATATTGATTAAAATTTCTAACGAAGTCTTCTATCCGATAGAAACTGTGGTTGACAAAAAAATTTAAAAAATAATTAAAATTCTTAAAAAAAATATCCCATCCGATAGAGACTATCGTTAATAAAAATATAATAAAATTGTAATAAGTCTCCTATCCGATAGGGTTTGTCATTGAAAAAAATGTGAAAACGAAAAAAATAAAATTCTTAATAAAATCTTTTATCCGATAGGAACTATTATTAGTAAAAAAAATCATCATCTAATAATCAAGATGTTCTTTGACATACCGATTATGTCAAGATTTAAAGTGAATTCGATGTTTGAACCAATGTGCCATGTCCAAATAAAATGAACTTGCAAATCCAGATTTTCATAAAATGACCTTGCAAATTCCTAACCAAGTGGATGAAGAAAACAATCACCAAAACTATGATCTACGTACCCTAAATATTCTAACCAGAAAGTTGAGAACTAATGCAGTTTTTGGTACTATCTTCGTAAATTTGTTGGCTGTGTTATCTTATAATATTAGACTATCAATTTACAATCAATTTAATAACAATAAATAATCAAAAGTCCCAAGTAGAAAAGACTCTTAGGAGCATGAAGAAATCTTTCGCAGAAAAGGTGAGTTCGCAAGTTGAAAAAAGATTAAACAAAACAATTCCATCATGCGTTATCCACTATGAACTAATTGTGGCCAATGTCATGATTGCTTCCATGTTTAAAAGCTAAAAACACTCCACTAATTACCTCTTTATGATGCTATGGGAACGGGTAAAAATTTGTTTAGTGTGTGGTATCCTTTGAAGATAGGGTCACATTCAAACCATGCTTCTAATGCCATCTTCGTAGCTAGCTCAATGAACTTGCACCTGGTATGTTCGCTTTAGAGCTATATGTTTATAATCATCGCTAATTTGAAAAATAAACATTAATTGGTTGAAATAGTTAGGTGGCTAGCTAGTGAATTGGAATAGTCAAACTGATGTTAATTTAATGTAATATATTCGTCTCTTAATCATTAGAGTTCAAATCACGAGAAGTAACACAAGTATAATCCAGTGATCTCATATCCTGTAGTTTTCTTCAATAAAGCAGATTTAAGTGTTGATAACTTTAATTTATTTGATAATTATATAATTGGAGAGAGTTACGTTGTTCGAAATCTATAAATCTCTCGATGAACAATAAAAAACAATAGCAAGAAGTAAAGTTATTGAAAATCTTTTATTACCAACACAGATAAAAAATATAAATTTAATTTTGATGTTTTAACGTGTGTTTAAAAATACCAACTTTGTAAAAGTGAAGGAAATATTTCAAGGAAATATAAATTTAATTCTATGTGCGCTCATGGTACGATAGCTAAGTTTTCCAACTACTTACCACATCAATCTAGTATAATCATAGAAGTTCTGCCGCAAATGAATACAATAGATGATTATATGGTTTTTATTTTTTAGAAAAATAACATTAATGATGCTTAATTCATAAGGGTTTTTTTTAATAGTCTATTGAATGATAATTAAAAAAAAAATTCACGATTGTAACAAGTTGAAATCTCGTGAGCGGATATAAAATAAGTTTTGATTCTTGTGGCTTGAGAAGAAAGATTTTTTTCTTTTAAATAATTATTCTCAAGTTTTTTTTTTAATTAAGAAAATTGACTAATTGAGTTTTCAATCTATTCTTCTATGAATTTTTTTCATTTAAATTAACAAAATTAGTCATACGCATAACTTATTATTATATTAAAAAAATAATTGTTCAATAATGAAAAACAGAAGATTTAGAGAGAAATAAGTTACACAAATATTATCCCACCATATTACGAGGGCAGAGAATACCAAGCTCATGAAGTAGGGGCCGAAGCAAGAGAACTTCAGTGACAGCATTCGCTAAGGCCTTGTATACTCGATTTTGAAAGAGGATATAGCCACTGTTTTTTGTTTACCGTATTTCCAAGAGATGAGGTTTTCACGATTTCCAATCATCTGAACTGCCTGCCCAACGTTGACAATTAAAGCCATGAAGCTCTAAAATTTGAAATTAATGCTATGTATATATGTGTGTGTGATTTTTTTTATTTTATTTTTTTTTACTTAGTTGTAACAAAGAATTTTATTTTATTCTCTCTCTCTTCGGAGTTTTTAATGAATTATTCTATCCAATTATCAAAAAAGAAAAAAGTCCACTCCACAATATGATTAGACATGGCATTGGGTGGCACTAGTGCTAGGTGACAATAAGAGTTGGAATACTTAGATTACAAGATAGGTTAATATTTTTTTTTTAATCTTAACTGATAATTTAGTATGTTTTACTTGTCAATTAAGTAGTATTTGATAAAAATAAAAATTAAATACTGAATCTATTAAGTATTAAATTTTAAATATTGAATAATTAGTTACTCATAAACTGTTTAGTACTTATTAAAAATTAAGTACTAAATATAATAAGATTGTTTCATAAATACTATTGTTGAATATATTATGATTATATACATGAAAATTTTAACCTTCTGATTATAATATGATATTTTTTAATATAAATAAAAATATATACATAAATATTTTTATGTGTTTAAATAAATAAATAAATAGAAGAATTAAGCCACGATAAAAATGCTCTGGTTGTTGAATTAGCTATAACCTGAGAGAGAGCAAAGGGAGGTCCATCTCTCGGCTGGCCTTGTCTTTGTGTCAGTACGATCTAAGATTGTTTTTTTTTTTTCTAACTTGATTAGTCAAAAAAATGAATTTCATGTCTAGCCAATGTATATGAACGATTAGCTTTTCCATATTCCCCATGTCTGAGCCATCTGATCTCTATGAATTTCCGACAGAGATTGACGACCTGCCATTTATCGACTCTGTTTTTCAATCCTTTGTCATCCGCCTTTACCAACTTATTATATCAACGGCACAATAATCCTTGCCTTTGACTTGAGTGACATAAATTGTGAAAAGATGGTGCAGCAGCTGTTCGTGAGGAGAGACAAAGCAATTCATGCCGAGATGCAATCAATTAGCATACCTCAGTGAGCGTCATAGCCTTATTTTTGTTAAATTCATCGAGATCAATTCGCTAAGCATAAGGATTCGGTGAGAGATGGAAAAACGTGAAGCGAGTAGGAGATTTGGTGAGAGATGAAAAAATAGAAGAATAACAAGATCCTCTGTTTTGGCAACAGGGATAATAAAGATTATTTCTCAATTGATTTGCATAATTATGATTATAAGAATATGCGAGAGCTATATAGTCATATTTAAAAAATTTTAAAAAATTTCAATTAAACATGTTAATTAAAAAATCTTAAGTTAAAAACTTTAACTTATCTAATTAAATGAATTCTGTCTGAATTTAAATTTTAAATATAAAATTATTTAGATTATCAAACAAATTTTTTATATTAAATACTACAATTTAATTTTTTAAACTACTTATATAGGTTATCAAATATACCTTTATTGTACCCTCTCAAACACTCTTAAATGAATACGTTAATAAGCTAAATTCAGCAATAACTATTGGTTTTTTTTTTATGATTGTACTACTTCATTGAGTTTCTTGTTGATCTATAAATTGTGTCCTTATTATTATTATTATTATTATCTAATATCTTGATGTTGTAAGAATAACTTGATGCAAATTACGTTTTGCTGCAATAGACAGATGCATAAGGTGGTTAATGAGCTGATGATTTTTTAAAAAATATTTTTGAAAGTACTTAACGCTTTTGACATTAAACTTTTTTGGTTATAGTGCTAGTCTCATAACAAATCACAACATATATAGTATATATATTATTATTGTTAGAAAATAATATAAAATTACTTTAAAAATTCAGTTATCGATTTAAATTTTTAGATCGAAATAGTTTTTTTTTTTTATCGGATGGAGAGCCATAGCCTTAGACAAAAAGATTAACTAGTACAAATCTTGAGAAAGCAACTCCGTTGATGTCTTCGTGAAGTAGTTTTCCACAATCCATTGGTACATCATGAAAATATGTGACACCAAGAGGTAAGTTAAGAGCAAGAGATGCTAATCGATCCATCACTCTATTTGTTTCCCTATAACCATGATTGAGATGAATTTGCCAACTCCTTGCTAGAATCTCCCGAATCATTGTAACCGCAGTATTATAAGATCTCAACTTCCTTGTCAATGCCTTCACCGACCGAATTGCTAACAATGAGTTAGCTTCCGCAATAACACGACGATACCCTAAATTTGAAGCCATCTCTAACCCAATAAGGATACCCCAAACTCGCGCATCAAACTAATCGAGAGCCAATATTATAGGAAAAACCCGACAACCAACATCCATTGGAATGTCTAAGGACCCCTTCTACTCGTTGAAACTCCCGAATCCATCCAGACCGCACCATCCATGTTAAGTTTGGTCCAACCCACTACTGGATACCGCCAAATAGTCCAGCTTTTCATGCCTAAGCTTAGTTTTACTAGCCAACTCCTTCATTATTGTCACAATATGTATGATGTGCATGGCAAAGTGAAAGATAGTGTTTATCGAACTCGCTAGGCATCACAAAACTATCATCAAACAATCTCTTGTTCCTCCATGTCTACAAAAACCAATAGCATGTCCCAAACCAAGTACATCATGACACCACATGCATAGGAAAAGACCTACTACTATTTAAGTTGGACTCCAACCAATCTATTAAATCTAAAGTAAAGAAGTTTGAAAACTTCGATCTACCCCACACTCCACCCACAATTGTCGGGCATATGGGCAATCTAGCAGAACATGTAAGGTAGTTTCGGGAATAGAAATACATACCAAACAACAATTATCAGCACTCAAATGTCGACATTGTCGTTGAGTGTTAGTGAGTAAATAGTCTTATACCGCTAGCCAAAGAAAACTACGAATCCTTTAGGGCCCACTCCATCCCCGGATCGGACCTAAAAACCGAAGTACCGCCACTACCAGGTGTGTGTAAAGCTGAATATGTAGAACTAATGGAAAAAAAACCATCATTAGAATTAGCCTAACATAGGTTATCTTCATCTCAATCAAAATTGGGTGGTAAAGAACTCGTAATTCACAAAACAATAGATGCTGGAAGTCTTTGTGCAAATTTATCCCACATCCAACTATCCTTATTAGATACATATTGGTTTACAATGTCCTCCGACTAGATTTTAGGGATCGAAGCGATAGTTAACTCCTGTAACGGACTCATACTAGCCAACCACCTATCTTTCCAAAACTTCACCTTATTGCACTTCCAAACAACCCGACTAACACCCCCACAAACATGTTTCCATACTCGACCGATGCTCCTCCAAAGATTTGATGCACCATGTCTCCGAATGAAACTAGGAATACGTGGATCCGTGAATTTATACTTGCTGCACGGTATTTGATCCCACCAAGCGATCATATCCGTAATAATACTCCAACCTAACTTGATCAATAAAGCATCATTTACCTTACTCAAGTTTTACAATCCTAATCCACCTAGTTGTTTTGGTTTATAAACTTTTTCCCAAGAAACCAAATGAATTTTTCGTATTGAATCAGAACTACCCCACACAAAATTCCTACATAACTTGTCAATGGAAGCCACCGTGGAAGGTGGTAGCTTGATGGAATGCATACTATAAATTAGAATAACCGACAGGATTGATCGAGTCAACGTTATTCTACTTGTAAAAGAAAGATGCTTAGCTTGCTATCCGGACAAACTTCTAGCCATCTTGTCAAACATAAAGCCATAAGTCTCCTTATTCACTTTACCATGATGTAGCGAGTACACCTAAATAACAAACCAAGTCCTCAATCAGCCGATAGCTCGATTTTCTACCAAGCATTCTTGCCTTGCCATTTGAGACAGTAGCATTGCAAAAAAGGCTCATTTTTGCTACATTCACCTTCACGCCCGAAGCATTATAAAAATTGTTAAGCACTTCCATAACTACCTCTAACTACATTGAATCGACCTCGGCATAAAGTATAAGATCATCCGTAAAAAAAGGTGAGAAATCGAGAGGTCCATTTCGACTCAAGAAAATAGGCTTCCATCTTCCATTGTGAACTTCGAATTGATCAAATGACTCAACTTTCTATACATAAAATGAACAGGTAAGGTGAAAGAGGATCGCCTTATCGAATACCCCTAGATGGGATAAAAGATTCTAACTTACAACCATTGAATGCAACTCGAAGAGACATCGATGAGACGCATTTCATTATTACTAAACAGAGGTAATGGGGAACACCTACATCTAGTAAAATATCTAGAACAAAATCCCGGTTCGACTTATCATAAGCTTTTTCAACATCTATCTTGATAGCTATCCACCACTTTCTTGCTTGTTTTCCTTTGCATCGAATGCACTACCTCTTGAGCAATAATAATATTTTCTATAATCTTTCAACCAAGCACAAAGCTGACTTAAGTAGGGGCAATAACCGAAGACAAGAAAAGCTTCATTCGATTAACAATTATTTTTGTAATAACCTTATACGTCACATTACACAATCCAATTAGTCTAAACTAAGTCACTGTTTTTGATGCTTCAATTTTGGGTATCAACATTAAAAGAACTTTGGTTAAGTTGTTATCCCAAAACTCATGTCAAAAAATCTTCCGAACAAACTAAAACAAATGCTAACCGATGGTATCCCACCGAGACCGAAAAAAGCTACATGCAAACCAGCTAACCACGGAGCTTTATACGGCTTCATGTCAAATAATACATCTCGAACCTCGACATGCACACGGGGTTTGATAAAGACCTTGCCACGAGAATGCGCCATGTGGGGAAACAAACCCTTTCCTAGAGGTTCCACCCTATTATCCATCTCTATAGTGAAAAGAGCTTTATAGTATTTCGGAACTAAAGTCATCATCCTCTCCCGATCGGTACACCAATTCCTATTCTCCTCTCTCAATCTTATTACCCTTGAAGCTTGCTTCTTAATTATAGTATAAGCATGGTAATATTTTGTGTTATGATCTCCATATGCCAACCGAGTCACACTGGATTTCGATACCAGTCATGACTCTTCTTTTAGAAGAATGTCCTCATACTCCCTCCTTAATTGCTCTTCCAATTGAGAGAGGAAAGGGTTAAGGCCTTTGCTAATTACTCTCCCAATTCCAATTAACCTTACATTAAGCCTCCTTTTCTCAACGAAATGTTCTCAAAGGTCTCCGGTTCCATCTAGTTATCTCGTGTAATAAAATGATCTATGGCTTCGGTGAATGGAATTGCCTTATCCCATACAATCCTCAAAATTCGAGAAGTCGGGGTTAAGTAACAAAACAGACTGGAATCCGAATGCCTTTTGTGGCTTGGGTAATTAATTGCTAATATCCAAACGTAATAAAATAGGTTTGTGATCGGATTTGATACGAGGTAAGTGATAACCCCTGCATTCGGGAATGCAAGTCGTCAATCTCTATTACACGACACTCTATCCAACCTTTCCTATAATCGACCCCTTTTTCCATATATAGGTAGGCCCTTTATACCCCAAATCCATCAATCCACGATCCCGAATGCAAGTTCCAAATGCCCTATTGCTATACCGATTAAACCCTCTCGCCCCTTGTTTTCTCGACCTATATAAAATAGCATTGAAATCCTCTCCCACTATCCAGGGCATGTTGTCTTAATTAGATAAACATCTCAACTCCTTCTATAAATTAACCCGACTATGGCCTATAGGATTTGCATACACAATTGTTAACATAAAAACCTTATCTCGCCACTGAATTTCCATGTGCATAAATTGGTAGTGGTTCTTCGGAATCTATATGGAAACAACCCCCTCATTCCATAACACCCATATACCATCCAGACAACCCATTTATTTCCACACGGTGTGATTTAGCAAAACCCAATTTCCTAATGACTGTCAATGCGGTAACCCCACTAATCCTTGGCTCCAAAATGGCCACCATAGTTGTTCTATGAACTCTAGTTATCTCACGTAAAGAGGCTCTAAACGACTCATGTTTAGCACCACGATAATTCTAGAATAAGAAACTCATTAGATATGTTGGACAATAGAGTTACTAAAAACCCCATTAAAAAATAGTGGAAGAGTTGTTGACCTTAGCCTCACCCTCCAAACCAAGACCTATGGAGTCTAATAACTCGGCTTTTTCCTCGGGACTCACTATCATCACCTATTTCGGCTTCAAAGTTGTACTTAGAGGCGAGAGATAGAATTCTTTCGAGTTGGCTTACGAATTGAAATTGTTGACTTTAGTGTCTCCTTTACGAGCTTGAAAGCCTTCTCCTTCTTCTTCCTCACGGTGATCATCGATGGAAGGTCGGATGGGATATTAATTTCCCCTTTAGGCCTATCCCCACACTCGGCTCGCTCGATCCGTACCGATCCTTTCTCATTCTCTAGAAATTCGCTCATGGTGGGATCTTCATCAACATTTAAACCCTCATCATCCTCTAGGTTTGGTATGGGTGGTAATCAATTTTAGAATAGACTTGGAATTCTCCTTAACTAGAATGGGTTCGGACATGGGCGAGGGAGAGTTGACTAGAATCGGGTTTGATAAATTTGATATGTGAACACTTGGATGGGCTACAGATTTAACCATAAAATTATCCGTTACATAAGTGGGCTTTTTGGCTTGGAACCGGGCTTGGCTTAGGTACGGTGGGGGTTGGTTGTATCAAATTGGGGTCCGGTTCCACATTTGATAAACACCATAAAACAAGACCCATTTTTGGGCTCACTCCCGGCTCTCACTTTTTCCACGCCTACGACCAATTCCTCCATCCGTTATCTCCTCTTATTCCTAGCTGGTGCCTGAATCCAAGGACCATATATGCCATTTTTTTCATTTAAATTTTGAAAATTAGAAATTGCTATATTAATTTCCCCATTTAATGCACCTTCTCCAGAGAGCTTTTGACCGAATGGTCGTTGTTGCTTCCTTTGTAAGGGCAATACAAGCTATTATGACCCACTCTCCTACAAGTATAACAAACTTGTCGCAATCCCTTATAGATGACTATATGTGCCATCCTATCAATCTAAATAGAGCTTTTCACTAGTGTTTCAATGTCGATGTCCACATCAACTCTTACAAACTTAGCTCTCGAATTTTTCTATGTTGTATAATCAATCTTTACAGTTTTTCCTAACATGTTTTCCATCACCGTAAGGATACTAGGATGATAATAATCTAAGGGAAGATCCGAGAATCGACCCACACAACTGCCACTTTCGATTCTATTCATTAAAGCCACGAAAGAATGGTCACATAGTTATAAAGTCGGACAATGCACGAGAATAGTCCAAGGTCATCCCACTAAAGCATGAAGGTAATCTTTATAGCAAGAAAATTAGACTAGATAAAATTCATTTTCCATATCAATTACTCGAAAGGCCTTAGCCGCATTCCATATAGTTTGAAGTCAAACACATAGAGCCTTGTACTTGACATTTCGCCCTAGTACCTTTACAACCACAAAAAAAACTCCTATGGTTTTTGTAATCGTTCCTTGAATGTGCCGGATAACTCAATAGATTGTACTTGATCCCTCTCAATTATAGTGATGTCTCCCTCCTCTACGACAACCTTTTCCATAGACAACCATTCCATATTCCTCGGACTTTCGGACTTCATACCATCTGTCACTACACATGTCGTTACACGACGTTGGATGGGACTCCTTGAAATTAAATTCTAATGGGTTAATATTTACAAGTTTATTTATAAAGCTTTGGAGTCGCCACCTAGTATTAAGGAACTAGGAACCTAAGAATAACACTTGGTTCGGAGATTCTATGGTAAGCGAGTTGGTTACACTTTTAGGAAGACATTTATTCACCCCAAAAGTGCCATTTCCGAGGAAAAGTATCACATCTTAGTTTAGTCTAAATTTATCTCCTACATTGTTTATTTATGCCAACTTGTTTTCCAATATTCAAACAAAATTTGATTTTTAGTTTTGGGCATGACATTGTATTGAAACGATCGTCGATCCCCTTCATCGGGTGACACATTGGTTCAAACATCGGATCCACTTTAAGCCTCGACACAATCGGTGCATCGGAAGACATCTTGATTATTAAATGATGATTTTTGGTGACGATGATCCCTATCAAATAGGAGATCTCACCACGAAACGGCAGTCCCTATCAAAAGGAGACTTCGTTAAAAAAAAAATTATTTAATGAGCCTAATTACTAAATAGATAAAGTGAAGTTCTATTAACTAAAGATAAAAATATGAAAATCTAAATTCGAAAAAAAAAAAGAATAAAGATTTAAAATTACCATTAAAGTAAATATAAACAATTCTAAATTAAATATAATCAACGGACATGCAACAAATTTAGAATTGTAATTCATTATAATGGCAAAATAAAATACTTAGCATTAAAAAAATCTAACACTTTTTTTTTCTTTTTTCTTTTTCCCTAGTCCTATTTTTTTTGGTTAGTTTCTTTTTTTTTTTTTTTTGGAGAGTCCGGTGTTGATTCCAACCTCTATTTTCTTGTTTTTTTTAATTATCTTTTTATTATATATATTTTTTTAGAAGGCGGGCTAATTCCGGCCTTCTCGTTTTTCTTCGGACAAAAAAAAAGGACAAGTTTTTCATTTTTTTATGAGCGAGAGAGCCTTGGCTTGGACCGATAACGAGCCACCCCCCTTTTGGGTTTGTGTAAAGAAACGAGGCTGGACCTTAAGCCCAAAAACAAGTTCTACCTCTTTTATTTATTTTTTATTTTTTTAGATCAAAATCACATTGCAAACTTTTAACCCTTTCTCTCTCTCATGTTCTTCGGATTTTTTTCTCTCTCTCTCTCTCTAATTCCCGAGTTTTCCCATAATTGAAATCCCATTTTATACACACAATTTAGCCGGACATATCGTTTTTTTATTATGAACCAGCCATGGAAACTCAAACCGAGTAACTAACAATATCCAAATGATCGACAATCAAATCGGAGTCGCTTTGAAAGAAAACGAGAAGAAAAGAAAAGAATAAAAGCTACGACTCGATGAATTTGATGATGGTTGTTTAAGGATGATTTTCGAAAAAATTAGAAGTCATTAGGCTTTTCGGGATAGTTGGATCACGTTGAGAAATCACGAATTAAAGCCGAAGGTCACCTGGATAAGGGAATAAAACTAGGCAATGTCGATGAACACAAAGAACGGGAACCCGGAATCTCGGAGCACCTTGAAAGCCTACCCGAAATTCAAAAGAGAAAATTCCCTAATGGACGAATTGAACCCAAACTTTCATAGATTAGGGTTGACAAACCTGTGAGGATAGTCGATTAACCCCAAAGGATCACAAAATAAAGAGCTAGAAAAACTAATAATTGAAGAAACGCTACCCGGAAATCAATAACATTCAACCCGAAACCTAGAAACCCGAGTGTGCGGGAGCTAACCAAAATCAATTTCGTGAATTCCAATCCCTTTCCCTTGCCCCTCTTTTTACTCTCTTTTCTCACCGGATCAAAACCTCTTTTTTTTTTTTTTTTCCTTTTCCCCCTCTTAAAACCTCTAATTCTTACCTCTTTTATAGGCATTCTCATTCGAATTTTACTCCAACTCAAACACCTTTAAACTCATATTTTTTTAGCTATCCAACTTGAACTCAAACTTACGTTACTAATTTCGAATTTGATTAGCTAAATAATCGGGATAGATTGAATTCGAAGAAATCCAAAAAACGATTAGAGGATTGGAATAAATTTCAATCAAATTTTGGAGGAAATCTAGAGTGAGACTTTGGGCTGGAGTGAACGACATGTCATTTGCTCAATTTCGAGTCCTGTCGTTTGCTCCAAGCTTCTACTTTGGTCCCCGCAAATCTTAATTATTTACAATCATGTCTATTTTTACGTAATTTTAGTCATGTAAAGAATAATTTTCTCAAGTTAGTCCTCATGAATAGTAATTCAAGTACTGAATTTCTTAATTTACTCAATTATGCCTCTAAATATTTCAATTATATTTTATTTTGATGCAATTATGTCCCTTAATGAAGATTTTGTATATATATTTTTTCTTTTCTAAAATAAATAATTAAAAAAATAAAAGTTATTATTATCACTATTTTTTTTTTTGTTATGATAGCACGCTTAAAATTCAAAGTTCCTGTAGACATTGGGATGTTACTACAATCTTCCGGGTTTGGATTTGTCTCCCGTATACGACCTTTTTTAATGGTACACTCAGAGTCAAGATCCATAGGATTTTCAGACTCTCCAATGAGGAGAGACGGCTGGGTTATTGTAGGATTTTCACAGGATCTATCTCTCAAAATAGTTTTTTAATACGATATTAAAGTTTACATGATTCTTTGACAATTATTACTACGAAAACACAATAAACACAATAGATTCATGAAGTAACTAACGCATGCATATTATTTTTATTCCTCGACACAAACAAGATACATAGAGGGTGGCCACCTTTATTACATAGATAAATACCCACACTATTATTAGAAGGCATTGCCCTTTCAGGAGCCAGCCTTACTAACTTGAGTGAATAAGCTAGCCAAACCAAAAGGTACATATGTAGTACATATTTATAATTGAACGAGAACATGCATGCATATTCTATTACTCATGCTACCTACACTTCGCCACCGTAACGAATGTAAGTATTAACATTGTTGTTGACAGTACCCAAAAGTCCGGTGTAAACATCAGGGTCTTTGTTGGATGGATCTAGTTTCTCATATTGGATAGTCCACTTTGCGGTACTGGCAGGAGTAACCTCAAAAGTGACCACGACGTTCTTGTAAAGTTGCAGCATCGCTCCTTGCAGCACTTTGGAGACGATTTTGTTGTTGGAGTTATCTACGGCTTGAACTTCATACTTGATGTTCTCCGAAGCACCTGAAATAAAATAATAATAATAATAATAAAGAAAGAAAGAAAACAATGGTTAATTATTATAAATGTTTAACAATTTTAATCACAAGTGATTCCATGTATTCATGGAACAGTACTACAATAAAATTATAGCATTCTTAATCAACTAATTACGTACCAGGGGAAGGCGTGATGTAAATCCGCTTGCGGGAACCAACAACATCAACCCAGCTCTTGTTACCATCAACAAGTTCTATTTTCTGCACAATAGCACCGCAGACATCAGTTAAGCGGAATGCTTTCTCCTTGAAGAATTTGAAAAAAAGATCAGTAGAGCATTCAAGTGGTGTTTCAACGACTCTGCTGCCCATATCTGCTAAGAAACTTGTGGAAATTAATTAGCTAGCTCACTGATGATAAAGATGCAATGCAGTGAAGAAATGTGGAGGCTTCCTTGGCCTTATATAGAACAATAGCCACAGCCCTAACCCTCTGGTCATTCTTCTTTTGTCAAATCATTGCCACACTTATACATATCCTTATTCAAATTTCGAACAAGCTACAAGGTGCATAAAAAAAAAATAAAAAAAAAATAAACAATAATTTCATTATCTTGTCAGTTCGTTGGGAGTGGGACATTTATGTTTCTTTACGGAGGATTATGGCTTGTGAATTTTTTACTTTTGCCGTTTCTTTTCGACTGCGTGAAATTATGTCTGAAGTTATTAGTGAGAATCAATCCGTTTTTATCTCTGGTAGGTAAGCTAACCAGGTCGTTCATAAAATGATAAAAACAATACATCCAAGGTTTTATTCTGAGAGTTAATTTCCAAACAGCTTTGTGTGTCGTAACTCAAATTTTGAATTATATTTTTCTTTCCCCTATTTTTATCCTTTTTATTTTTATTATTGTCATTTATTTTATCCTTTTTATCATATCCCTATTTTTTATCTTTTTTTTTTTTTGGTTTTTTCTTTTGTATTTATTATTTAGATTCATGTCCACTTGCAGCCTCTCTCTACTCCATTATCTCCCCAAGTCAACCCTTAGCCTCAACCTACTGCAATCAATTGCGGCAACCTCCTAGCTAACCCCTCCTACAGCAACTTGCAGCCTCCATCCTGCTGCAAATTGCCCTGCAGAACCATCACTCCAGCAGCTTCCCCTACTGCAGTCACCACCCTACTGTCCAGCCACCCCTACTGCCACAGTCCCTCCACACAATTTCCCCTATACCTGCTGCAGCCCCATACTCCAACTGTCAACAGCCACTGTCTACCCATCACCCTAAAACTGCCCAGCCACCCCCTACTGCTGTCACTGCCCACTCATCAGCCTAAACATACTGCCACAGTTTCCATTACCCTGCACAGCCCACAACTACAATCTCATTAATCCCCACACCATTAACCTGCAAAATCCGTCACCATCATGGATTCTTGAACGCTACAATGCTGAGATTTTCTTGGAATTGAAATCCAAGTTTTGGATACAGCTGCTTCTTGTGATGATCAGAATTTAGTGTGTATCTCAGTGAGGAAGGAAAAGATTCAATTTTCTCTCAATGCAGTAGAAATAAATATTCTTCAAACTTGGACTCTCTTGCTTCTACATCATAGTGTATGCTTTTTAAGAAACGATAACATTTATGGAAGCAAAAGAGAAACTGAAAGAGGAGGCTGGCAAGTCCTTACATTCTCAGTTATGGCATGACTGCGCCGGTGGCATGGTCCAAATGCCGGCAGTGAACTCTAAGGTCTTCTACTTCCCTCAAGGCCATGCCGAGAATGCGTGTGGCGTGTTGATTTCAGGAACTTGCCCTATGTTTCTCATAATCTATGCAGAGTCTTGGCTGTCAAATTCATGGCTGATCCTGAAACTGTCGAGGTCTTTGCTAATATCAGGTTGGTTCCAATTAATTCTAATGAACTCGATTTGGATGACCAAGAAGTTGCAGTTAATGGTGGAGGGGAAGCCGCACAAGACAATAATAAGCCAGTTTCTTTTGCCAAGACACTGACTCAATCTGATGCAAACAGTGGTGGAGGTTTCTCCGTGCCAAGGTACTGCGCTGAGATGATTTTTCCACGTTTGGATTACACAGCAGATCCGCCTGTGCAGACCCTTCTTGCTAAGGATGTTCACGGTGAGACATGGAAGTTTAGGCACATCTATAGAGAGGCACCGAGAAGGCATCTTTTGACAACTGGATGGAGCCCATTTGTGAATCATAAGAAGCTTGTTGTTGGTGATTCTGTTGTATTTTTGAGGGCGGAGTATGGAGATCTTTGCGTTGGTGTTCGAAGAGCTAAGAGGGGGATTGGTGGTGGGCCTGAATGTTTGTGGAATCCGGCTGGTGGGAATTCTGCTGTGCCTTATGAGGGTTTTAGTACGTTCTTAAGGTAAGACGAGCATAAGTTGATGAGAAATGGAAGTAGCAATGGCAATGGTTTGAAGTCAAATGAGAGTTTGATGGGGCGAGGGAAAGCAAGGGCTGAATCGGTTATTCAAGCTGTTACTCTTGCTGCAAATGGACTGCCTTTTGAGGTGGTTTACTACCCTCGAGCCAATACTCCTGAGTTTTTGTGTGAAGACCTCCTTGGTAAAAACAGCAATGCGGATCCAGTGGTGTTCAGGGATGCGGTTCAAGATGGCCTTCGAAACTGAGGACTCTTCCCGGATTAGTTGGTTCATGGGAACTGTTTGTTCTGTTCAGGTTGCTGATCCTCTTTGCTGGCCTGATTCACCAAGGAGACTTCTTCAGGAACATAGTACCATAGCATTGGTGACAAAATGATTATGAGTTTGAATAGTATTAGTCTTATTTTCTATTCTAATTAATTAAGTATAAAATAATGAAAAGCTATGTGAATTTTAAATTTAAAAAACTTTCACTTTGAGAACATATTTTAAAAAATAATATAAATCATATCTTAAGTTTTACTTAACAGTTTAAGCTTTAAGTGTGATAATTGTTTGATAACATAGAAACAAAAACAAAAGCAGAGATAAGAGAGAGAAAAGTTGGGATTTTAATGTTTAAAGTGGCTGCCAATTGATTATTCATTGTACCACCAAGTTGTTCCTTTTTTTATTTATTATGGCATCACATTGTTCTAAGATGCTAACATTTATGGAATAAATTATAAATTAGTCTCTTTAGTTTTAAAAAATAAATTAGTTAATTTATTTTATTTTAAAAAATAATTATTTAATTTTTGTATTTGTAAATTTATCTGTAATTTATTTTTATTTTTTGCTAATTTTTTTGTTTTAAAAAAATAGAAAAAGAAAAGATAATAAAAAATATAAAAAGATTTGATGTAAAAAAACAAAAAAAAAGACATAATATTAAATTAATCATGATCGATATTAATTAAAAAATTAAATAATTAATTTTAAAAATATAAAAACATGAATTAATTCATTACTTAAGAATAGAAGGACAAGATTATAATTTACTCGACATTTATGCTGGCAAGGCATTTAAAATGTTCTGGCTGGCTCATAAGTCATAACCGCTCGTCATTGCCAAAGGGAACTGACTCGAGAAACAAATAGCCAGCAAAGAAAGTCAGTGATCTGAGCTGTGAAAGGGGGCCCTAAAGACCTTAGGTATAAGTAAGAAAGGGGAGGCCTTTCAGAATGTTGGGATTTTAAGTTCTACTGGCTTAGTTTTTTTACAGGAATGGCAGTGGATTAGGTAGTACAGATTTTGCTGTATCTGCCTTCTAATCGTAATATCTAAATTCATCATTCATTTTCACTGTCAAGCCGATCAGATGGAAGACTTTCTTCCCTTGATGAGTATGCATAAGATATCTTATTCTATCCAATTTTACAAAAATAAAATCTTAATTTATAAAAAAATTATATTTTTTATCCACGAAACATAAACCATAAAATAGGATTTAAGCTTCAAAGATATGCATGCAACCTTAAAAAAATCCATCACTAATCATTAAGATAACAATCCATGCATTAATTTTAAAAACAAAATTGCAACTATAAAAAAAAAATTAAAAAAAAATCAGATCGTGGTAGGGTAGGTGAACTCTTCGCTTGTCTCTTCATTTGACTCTAGTCTAGTCAAATCTGGTGAGAAATAGAGAAAAAACGAAAAAAAAAATGGTTTGATCCAAAAAAAAAAAAAAAAAAAAAAAAGGAGCTTTGTTTGTGTTTTAGCCTAACCCATGTGTGACTGGATTAGACTGATAGTCCGAGAAAAAAAGAAAAAAAAAAGAAGGAAAATTGGGCTCAGTCCAGCCCGACCTAGCTGAAAAAAAAAAAAAAAGAGAAAATTTGGACTGGACAGATTCCAGTTCAGTCCAGTGCCCAAGCCCAATGGGCTGACGACCCACTGACAAAAATAGTCCTAAGTTCTTTAATTTCAATTTTGTTAGATAAATCTATCCTGAATGTTTTTATTTATGTGTGTTTATTTTCTATTTAATTTAGATTTTAATATTCTAGATCCCTTGAAATTTATTTTCATTAATTTTAATTTTAGAATTTTATTTTCATAATTAGTTTAAATAATTAAATAGTGGATGAATTGTAGAGTCTTTTAATTTTTAGGAATTAACGATGATTCTCCATTAACAAAAAAACAAAAAAAACAAAAAAATTAATAAAAAGGAAGGCGTATTAGTTAATTTTAATATTTTGTTTCAACAATTAGTTTAAATAATTCAATGATAGACGATTGTCAAGTCTCTTAATTCTTAGGGATTGATGACGATTACTCACCGACAAAAAAAAAATATTGATTAAAATTTCTAACGAAGTCTCCTATCTAAAAGAGACTCGTCGTTAACAAAAAAATAACAAAAATTAATTAAAATTCTCAACAAAGTCTCCTATCCGATAGGGATCGTTGTTAACAAAAAATGAGAAAAACGAAAAAAATAAAATTCTTAACAAAGTCTTTTATCCGATATGGATCGTTGTTAGTAAAAAAAAAAAATCATCATTTAAGATGTTTTTTGACACACTTGGTTGTGTCAAGATTTAAAGTAGATTCAATATTTGAATCAACGTGTCTCCCGACAAAGGAGCCTAACAATCGTTTCAATACGATGTCACGCTAAAAAATAAAAAAACTTAATTTGGCTTGAAAAATTAGATTTTAAATCAAAAATAATTTGGGATAAATAAAACAAGTTAATGGATGAATTTTTTGACTAAACTAAGCATGATACCTTTATTTGAAAAGTTGTTTTTAGGTGATCGATATTTTATCAAAAGCATAACCAACTCCTTATCATAAAATCTCTACACTAGTGCTATTTTTATATTTCTAATTTCTTCAATACTAAGTAACAATTTCGAACTCAATAATAATTTGCATCTCTAGAATAAATCATAAGCGCCTTTGACAAATCTTAATTTTTTAGAGAGTCCAGATCCGATATCGGATAGCGACGGAATGGTGACTCCATTGAGGATTACTAGAGTTAGATTATAGTTTTAGTCCTTCGAATTTATCTCCGTTGTTTTTTTTTCCCTTCTTTTAAGTTCATTTATTTTCTTGTCTTTAAACTCCAAGTTATTTATTTTGCATAATTTATTTTTTTGAATTTTGTTTCTTGTATATGTTTCAAAGTCATTTATTTTGTTGAATTATTGTAAATATTTTAAATTTATTTTTTTGCTATATATTATTTGAATTGGGTTAGATATCCGTTTTGAACTGTTACACACACAACGAGAAAACTCACAAAAGCTATAGACTCGAGCTAAAGCTCGTTATGTTTTAGATGGAGCGATATGGAGGCAAGCATGATAAAAGTCTACCGATGCTCTTTCAAACTCTCATTTTGACTAGAACTTGCCCTATGCATAGGAAATGGTGGAATAATCTTCTTCTACCTTTTGTTCCATAAGGTTAAAGGCTGAATTACCATACTAGAAATTTAGACGAACCAAAAACTTGAAAGGACTTCAGAATTAGACAAGTTATGCCTAAATCATGTTCACTAGGGTTGACCCATTAAGACACAAATCATTTTCAAATGATGTTTATTTTAACCCTTAGCTTTTGCAAGATATCATCAAAACAAATCATGATAGAGAATACTATTAAGGATTTTAAGGTCGGATCGGAATGGGTTTAGTTGGAAGAGGGAGGCTATTTACCTTAGATTTTGTTTCAAATAATAATAATAATAATAAACCCTCAAGCAATGAATATACCATCAAAGATGAGCTTATAGGAAATTCAAAAACCATATAGTCACTCGTTACCTCAAGCCCGAGTTCGAGATTGTGAAGAGTAGAATAGGAATTTATCTTTGATGTAAATATCATGAGCATTGTAATTTAAGTGATTGTAAAAAGTGATTGCTGTAAATAGCTATACTATTTTTATTCTTCAATGAAAAATTGCTCTAAGTCACAATTACAATGTGCTAGAAGTCCTAATTTCAAATTGTTTTATGAATGCTATCACAAAAGGCGTTCATCACTCGAGGTCTAAAAAAAAAGCTGTCAAAGATGAATCGATTTAGAGTAGATATATTTCTTGAATTGCCTAAAATATCTCGTGGAGTTGTACTCTCAACGAGTATTAAAATCTGATCTAACTCTGTCCTTAGCACAAACTTTATCATGATTTGATTTGCAATAATAAAGAAAGGTATCCTGTTTGATTCAAATCATGCATGTATTTTTACTTATATTTACTATATATATTGCTTTGTGAGAATAAGTAGGTCTAAAGAGGTTGTACTTAAGAAAAGCTCAACTCACCAAACAATAACAACTCGGCCAAGATGGGAAACCAAAATGAAACCCGAGAGCGACAAAGCATCCAATAGGAAGTGGCCATCTTGAGAAATGAAGTGTTACGTTTAACTAGTTTGCTTAAGAAGGCTCTTTAGCCTAAACTATTGAAAAATGAAGCTTCGGTGATGAAAAGCCTATTCATTCCTTCCACAATGCTAGTTCCTTTGTTAGGCACATCATATCTCTATACTCTTCCATGATGGCGACTCATCCTAAAGGACCTCCTCTAGTCGTTTCATTAGGCCACGTGGCCCAAAACCACTAGCAAGAAGTCTTCACTCTTACATGCCTCACCTCGGCATATGATATTGTCTCCGAATCATTTGGCTCAAACTTGGATCCTTGCAAGCCTACTACAAGATAATGAAGAGATTAAGAAAGGAAAGGGAGTTGAGGGATGTAGATCAACTTAGTTTCTTGATAAAGAAAAGGATGGGGGCACCCCAAAACCTCAAACGCCCAATTACGAGGGGAGACCGTTCTAAAGCAAATAAGTATGGGGCAAAAAAAAAGTTTTTAGCAAGGCTAACCTCAATGGTATGAGAAAAGGGAGTGATGAATCCATATGGAGATATTCGAAGAGATGACAAGCACTAGCCTTTCGGACATGACCACCGTTAACTTAGTCGAACGAGTTGACATCTTCATCGGCACTTTGGGATCCCCATATTGTAAATTTTGGATAATACTTGGCTTGCTAACGAGGTCATTCATAACCCAAATTGATTTCCAAATAGCCTTTGTTCTATTCTTTGAAATTATATGGTGAGTGTCATAACCCAAATTTTGGGTTATAGTTTTTTTAGAGGCTTTTCCAAAGGATATAAAGGCTGATGTTATAGTGGCTCAAGATGGAAGTGGTAAGTACAAGACTGTTAAAG